TCAAATAAGGGTCGTTGACTGGCGGAGACGTGGTCTTCGTGTCTCTTGGAGGATAGAATTAGTCTTGAAGGGTTGCTTCCTTGTTCTGTGTCCCCTGTCTCATAAGGAATGGTTTATGGGAGTTAAAAAAGCCAGCTATGGTGAGATATTGTATCATTGTCTGAAAGTGCGTAACACCACTCCGGTGAGGTGAAAGCCCATACGGTTTTCAAAACTGTGGGAGAACACACGAAGCAAGCCAAAACAGTTGAGTAAAGAAACTTATCTTTGTGCGTCCGCATGAACGAACTTTGAAAACCGTTCAGCAAGTTATTTTGCCTTTTGATAGCCACATCAAATGCGTAGGGCTGCAGTCTTCTTCGTCTGAAGTAACCAAGATAGATACCTAGGAATATAGAATCACAATCAGGTGGCCAATATTTACTGCAATGCAAATAAGATCATACCGGAATGGATGGTCTCATTTTTCTGGTTCATTATGTTAAAAATTCATTGAATGACAGCCCCTGATCGTCTGGTGAACGTTTTTGAAGGTCATTTCACTAGTTGTGTACCTTGGTTCTTTAGGAAAAGTGATAAAGGTCACACGGAAAGTTTTGAATGCCAGCCTTAAAAAAACGGTCCCGGGTGTGAGAAACATCGACGTGGACACGAAACCTCAAACTAGTCAGGTCAGCTGGTTGTGATTGATGGGATTCAAGTCCAGTGCCCTCGACCATGTGTGCGCTACTTCACACTTGAACGGAAAGAGTTCCGAAGCAGTGACGTTCGTCCTGCCAATGGTCTAGCTCCACCTGCCGTTTGGTATTGCAGTATGCTGGGCCAGTTGATTTGGGTTTGTTCACTTGACGCAAGTTAATTCTAACTAGATACTAGATCAAAATATATAATAGGCCTTGCAACATCAGTCAAAATTCTGTGCTACAAGACACAACGCGAAATGAGTGTAAAATTGACCTTGCGTTCGAAACATCAGGGAATGTTACAGCAACTGAACACCGCCTAAGAGTTCGGTTTAGACGGAGAATGACGGATACTTTCGAGAGACTACTCTAGGCAGGCAGCCTGTCATGGATGTCGGTTTATACGGGCGACTCCATCCGATTTCGGAGTTTGTAGGGTGTGATAAATACACTCTGTGCGGTACGCACTGCTTTTCACAGTTAATCTGATCTAAGTAACTTCGGTCCGGTGATAACCAATCACATTTTTTCTCAAAGAAAATGAGTGTGATATTACGACAATTTTCATACTCAATGCAGTTGGAGTTCACACAGCGACCTCACCCGGTTGGTTTCGGTAGACCGTAGTCTCATATTAGTTGTTATTCCTGTAATAAGTGTGGTTCTCGTTCTTCCACCTGTCTTATTTCCCAACGGATAGAAAGCACTGATAAACGAGCTGCATCGGGTGTCTTCCGCTGTATTCGTTTGTGTGTGTACCACAGAACAGTATCAAAGAATGGAGCATATAAGTTTTACCCCTGAACTTTCGAAAACGAATCAACCACCAAGGAAGCACCAAAAATGACCGATTCTTTCTGCTGAGGCAGTTCAGGTTTCCATCTCTTGATGGCAACTGATTCAGCATAGCCCAGCACCTTGCCAAGCACTGTGAAGTAAGCTAAGGTGGGACGAAAATGCTGCACCTATGAAGGCTCAAAATAGATTAGCCCTAAGGGCCCCCACAATGAGCGCGACTTCGGTCAGTCTAAAGGGTGGTCCATACTGGTGGTAAGAACCACTCTGTGCCACAAGCAACTTAAGCAGCCTACCTAATTTCGCTTAGGATTTCGTACTGCACTCCACCCAGTATGGCAGCCAGACTGAACTCTCTTAACAGATTCCCAACCGACAGTGAACCCGCTACTAACAATAAACATGTAATTGTACTGCACAGTCATCTGTTGTGCATTCGACAGAACAATGTGTATACCAGTAAGCGATCACTGTTTGTTAAGCCACATAATTAACTGTTGAAGAAGTCATACAATTGTCGATGTGCGGTTTTTAATAGGGATGAGCAGTTCGTGTGTAATTTGTCAGACTTCCATAATTTTGTATTGACTTTCTGATGCACCACTAATAATCCGGCAGTGAACGGTTTCCACCTCTTTTGACACCATGGAGTTGAAGTGGTATGCATACGCAGAAGATCTGACCTGAAGCCTGTCTCTCGTATGATTCTTATGGCTGTCTAATCCGAGGTCAGGTCACCGATCTACCTATCACCGGCTTGTTTCAGAACGAGACCGAACGGGGACATGTCAGCCGCACAAAGACAACAACGCAAACGTCGACCCTTGTCTAGGTCTACGACGTTGAACTAAAGAGCTGGAGTCTGGGTTTGACAAATCTAATCTGCTGTCTGAGTGACCGGAACACCTGCAATTTTAGTTTCATAACAGACTCCGTTAAATAAATTGATACAGAGCCGCAGGAAGCTAAGCTTAGCGTAGCTGGTAAAAAACTGTTTTACTCGCAAACTCCTTGGCTTTTTCAGTCTCCAGTTTTTCACTTAATGCATTGATTAGTTTTCTCTTTTATTCACCAGCGTCTTGTACTCGGCTTGGACTTGATTCATCCAGATACAAAATTGCATCTTAGGATGGGCTACTCTCCCAGGGAGTCCGCAAGCGTCCCCTGCTAGCCAGTGTAAAGCTCTCAGCCCTCCGAAGAACATTCACCTAAAGGTAGACCGAATACTCTATCCCCTCATAATCCCTACGTTCAGATGGATTAATGTATACAGTAAAGCAGCTGGTTGACAGCAACATTTGGATCACATTGTACAACTGCCATCCATAGCTGAAAGGTTTAGCATTCGACTACCAGTCGCGAGATCACTGAGTTGAAACTCCCTGACTTTTATGAGCTGTGCATTGCTGATTAGTCCAAATGAGGGCAAAACAGCGGCACGATGCTTTCAACTTTTGGCAATAGATTGAATGTAATTCCTCAAACCACGAGTTAACTATTAGTGGGTTAGAAGGTCAATTCACAAAGCACGTGAACCTTTCGTTTCATAAGTCGCCACTCGAGTAACCAATCAGTAGTGCATCAGATGATGTGAATTCCGTGAAAGAAGAGTGAGTGGCGCAATATCCTTTCCAAGTACAGGCTGATCACGTCGTTGATCAGTCGCTGGTGGCCGAATGGTTCAGTATTCCTCTACTAGCTGGGAGGTCGCGGATTCGTGGGAAATGCACTGCTGATAATTCCCAAGAGAAACGAGGCAGCTGCGCCAAACGAGCGTATAACGGGAGTTTCAGAAATTACCTTCTTGGTACAAGTCGAATGGATCACCTAATGATCACCTGATTGGATCCGGGTGGCAACTGCTTGATATTGAAAGCACGAACCCCGCTGCAACCGATCGATGCGGCTGCATCAATTTGAACTTGGTGGACGATGAAATTAGCAGTGATGTGGCCGTTAAGTTTGACAGAATAGCTGGACCAGAAGAAAGCTGGATTTTGCGAGCACTTTCGTCGTCTTCTAGTAATCTACATCAGGGGTCCGCTTGTTATGGGTTATTCGATCTAACGGGGAAACGGTGATTTATTTGTTGCCCAAGGGCACCAGTAATGGTGTGGAGTGACCGATTGCCTACTTATGAGCAGTTTGAAACACCCCGCTTACCACGATATCGCAACAAAGTATCGAGCAGGAAACGACCGCTGAAAGCAACGGTGTTACGGGCGATAACTCTAAGCTGTGAAACAAGGAAATAGGTAACATGCATTCTTAGGATTGCCTAAAGCGGTTACCTCAAGGAGAGCAGTTCTAGTGAGAGACGACTTGATTGAACTGTTGATGAGTGATCGTCTTTGTCTCTGCGTTTGAAAGTAGTATTCCGGTAACCGGGCGAGTGTTGTAATTCTGTCATAGTGAACAATAACCTGAGGTATCATGTTGAACAAAAGTGGTTTTCGCTCACGTGGGGTCTGCGACGAAGTGCACCTGTTTTGCGTTGGACTGTAAGCCTAAAAATGGATTGGTCGAAATACAGTGAGTCCGTGTAGGATTATCCTGCAAAGGAACTTCACAAAACACCTATCCCGCCACAAAAATGCACAGCTCATCATAGTGCGGATGCTTGGGTGCCGGAATGACGCGTTAGGTGAAAACCTAAAGTCACTAATACAAGACTGGTCAGTGGATCAGATCACAGATCCGAACACAGCCCCCTGGACCTTTAAGTTCGGATACGAAGCCGCTTATTCTTTAAAAATTCCTATGGCCGCGGTGACATGTCGGTAGATCCGCTGACTTGCGCTCAGGCTTTTGGGCCAACAGACTTGATCAAGAGCCGTAAATGCTCCCTTCTTCAATCCTGGTTACCATGGCAGTATTCTAGTCAGCGTAAAACTGGGAGCTTGCCGCTCATCCACCACTGAAGTCGACCAGCACAAAATAATCAAATTTTCTTCCAAAGCTACAAGGTACGCCCTTTCAGAGACCCAGTAAATAAACGTACCAAGCCTTTCGAAGCCATCATATCGCTCGAACCTATCGCCTACCTGGAAGGTTGTACTGGCTCGTAACCACCACCACTCCGTCGGTTTCCCGACCAATACATGGCCGAATACACCTAACACACAAACATCAATCGATTCCAAAATACTGCGGCTGATCACTGAGCACCCTAAAAAAAGTATGCTTGAATGCTGAAACTGCCTCCACAATGTCACTGTTCCTTCTTCCATTATAAACACCAATTTCTGGTTCAGGCAGTTGGAACAGCGTAGCGCGCAAGAAAGTTGGAGGACTAAAAACGATCGGATTCTTGTTTTCATTACAGAAAAGCTATAGCGAAGGAGTTTCGGTCTGTCCGACGATAGCAAATCCTAAAAACTATTCTAAATGTAGTGTTTCGCCATGTCACAAAAGTATGGATGCGATCCCATTGAGATTTGGTTCTAAATATCGAGACGAACGGCATAAACTGAATTTAAATATTGTACAAACCCGAAAAACATGCTGCACCGAAAATGTTTCAGGCTAAATGTATTCGGATCCAAGATACAGTGCACTCAAAAAAGTAATGGTAACCAAAAACCCGAATCATTTGTAGATACAGATCGGTTTTCGACACGTTTACCTTATAGTAAACATACAACGCAGGAAGCATGTACAAGGCAAAGAAAATATTTTCGTTAGAACATTTGGTTGCCATTGAGGTTCGGTAACCCGGACGGGGCATTCGATACACACAACGTATTCAGCAAGGCGTTAACACACGCAGTAGGGAACAGACTGCACTGACACAGATCGACTGGCAATAACATACATACTGTCTGTATCAACTTGGACAAAACCACCAAAACTGGTTACAGGTATGAATGCAATACCAGGACGAATCCGAAAGACGTCTGATAGCACATCATCACAATGTGATAAGCTTAATGAACTCTCTAGACGGACAAGGCACGCTGGCACATATTTGAAATTAATGAGCCGACGTAACAGATGCTACGAGGCTGGAGTAAGACAACAAAACCTAAGAACGTTCGCTATTTGACGGTAACGTTGACTGGACAGATGAAGCGGACTTCTTGGTGTCTGCCGAAGAAGTGGGCGTATGCGGTTCTTGGGTATCGCTTGAGGGTGACGCGCACCGCTTGCGCAAAGACTCTAAATACTCGTGCCTGGATTGCTCCATAACCATTGCAACCAGGGAATCTTCATCCATCCCTGCAAATCGGACAAAAGAAAGCAACAGCTGAGCGTGAGGAGCAAAAAAGTTCATGGCAAAGGTTTTACGACACGGGGAACGCAAATCTTTATCCGCAAACAGAGATGCAATAACAAACAAGCCGAGTAAACCAAATGTCAGCAGACTACACACGATGATCGGTGATACGATATGAAGCATTATCGAAAAGAACTACTTAATTATTTACCAGTAACTTGACTTAGGCGACAAAGCTGCACATGCACACCCTTCCAGAGGATTAGAAGACGGACACCGGTAGGCGCATGCAATTCGTGCTGCCTCGGCATTAACAAGACCAATGACTGAAAAAGGCAGAGTGAGTCAGTCAATATGGGGCAGAAGAGACTAGGATGGTTGCACCAATACGATCAGAAAAGGACCCCGATTCTAGGTTACAATGGCCTCGACAAACTCCAGGACAGGTGTGTAGGGCGAGAAGAGCTCGGATTTACCCATATGGTGCTTTATTAGGAATACCTCAGGGTTACAATATATCTCTCTATTAAACAATAGATAAATCTGTGGCGTGAAACCACCAAGTTGTCGTCGCTCCTCTTCCAGAACATCGTTGCTCTGGCGATTAGCGTTCACCAAACTTATCCTCCTAAAATACCTCTTCTTCACTAAAGCCCCTATATATATATACATTATATAT